GGCCGCCGCGGAGTCCGGACGCCGACGCACGGCCTTGACCTCCCGGCCAGGTCTGCTGGCGACAGGGTCTCTGGCGGGGCGAACTCGCTTTGTCCCCCGCGGCTCCTCCAGGGTCTCATCCATGCCCCAGAGCAACACGGAATCCGTGGGTCCGCGTGCGCCTGTGCACGTGTTCGTGTGTGCCTGTGTGCGTGTCTGTGTGCTTCTGCACGTGGGCGTGCGTGTCTGTGCACGTGCTGAGGTAGAGGACCAGGTGGGGGACTCTCTAGCGTCCGGGCTTCCGGGGCCTGCCTTCTGCGCTGGGAGTCTGACCAGGTGAACGTCCATCTCAATAAAATCCTTCATGCGAATGCTGGCTTTTTCTCTTCCACATCACATTTTCCTTCCTTACTGGATCAAGGTGCAGCAAGAATCGTTTGATTTGAGGAGAAGCGTGATGTGTGTGGGCTGTTTTTATTTTACCTGCGCTGGTTGTGGTTCATCAGCCACGTGAGAGGATGGCAGGGTGGGGAGAGCTCAAGACCACAGGGAGGGCAGTGAGGTCAGAGCACCCACAGCTGGCCGTGTTATTTCAGGGCTCCCACCCAGCTCACACTCACCTTGCTGTTCACTGGGGAAGTCATCTGGGGTTCAGGCTCACTGGGGGGAGATGTGGAGCACACATTGAGTTTCCCCAACCAAGGGTGGCCAGGGGTCTCTCAAAGCCAGAATTCGGCTCACTTCGGCGTGGCCCACTTCGGCGTGGCCCTCTGCTGTCCCCAGGCAGAGGGTCCTGGTTCCCGGCAGTTGGTGCTGCGATCCATGTGGGAAGAGCAACAACTGAGTCTGCTGTGTCTATTTTTACTTCTTGTCCACATTACCTGTGATTGCCTGTGTGAGGGTCATGATAATCTGCGGAGGGAGAAGACAGCTCTTTGTCCTGCTATTTTGCTGGAACCACTGAGCTCCGTCACAACATAGACTGTCAGGCCCCCAGCAGAGCCCAGTGGATTGAGATGCATGAACGGATGTGTGCTTCACAAAGCGGGTGTTCTGACGAGGTCCGAGGCCCGAGGTTCCCATGAGAGACATGCGGTATTTGTAACTGGGTGCTGGTTAGCAAGAATTCCTGACGGCCAAGAGCTTCCCACTCTCCAGGAGCCAAAGGAAGCCAAGTCCTCATGAGCGTTACCTGTGAGGTGACAGAACCAGTCCCTAGCCCTCTCAGACTTGTTTCTCCTCCACCTTCCAGAGCCAAGCCCCCAGGCATGTCCTATCAAGGGCAACCCTGGCCCTGCATCCTCTCGGTGCCCTGGCAAGTGTCATACGGTGGTTCTTGAACGCAGTCCAGGGTCAGTGGTAACTCCCTGGACCCAGAAGTGACTGAGAAGCACATAAACATTTCCCATAAAACCCAACTTACCCAGGGGGCAGATCACCCAAATGCCTCACTATCCCCTGTCACGATGAGCAGGAAATGAGACAGAGTGGGAAGCTGCCATGCTCTTAGCCAATGTGGGTAAATATATGACTTGTGCACGTTTCGCAAACATGTTCGGCCTTGACAATCCCTTGCCAAGGCCACTCGTGAAGAAGGTGCCTGTCTTCATTAGGTCAGGCTGCCATGCCCAAATGTCACAGGCATTCTGAGCCTTGGGGCCGGATTGCTCTCTGTGGCAGGGCCATCATATGCATTGCCAGATGCTGAGCCATACCTCAGAACCTATCCGTTAGCTGCAGTAGCACCCCTTCCCCAGTTGTAACTGCTAAAAATGTCTCCAGAATTGCCAGGCAGGCCTGCAAGATCCCTCCTCCCCTCACGCACAGTTGAGGACTGCTGGTTTAGAAATTTGATTTCCACGTGGCAATCCCGCACATGGAGATGAGAACAGGGCGAGTCCTCAATCTTGGGCCTCCACGGGCACACCCCTTCCCCTCTTGCAACTATTCTGTTTCCACCTGGCCATGCCCTGTGAAGTTGGATGGTACTTCAGGGCAGACGGGAGGAGGGTCTGGTCATGGCCATGCATGTAGTAGGAAGGAGGGACCATGGGGACGGGTTGTCGTCAGGACTGGGGTGGTCCAGGCCAGTGGTTGTTGGATGGTGAGGTGCCTCAAGGCACCTGTGGCTTGT